TTCATGTATAACTGAAAAATTATGCTCTACAGTGGAATTTGACACAACATTGTAAAATGATTATAGATCAATAAAAAATGTTTGAAAAAAAAAAAGACAACAGAAACCTGTTCTTTCATGGTACTGGAGTCCAGGAGTCTGAAACCAATGTGTTGGCAGGGACATACCACCCCTCCCTTTCCCAAAGGCTCTAGGAAGAATTCTTCCTTGCTGCTTCTGGCTTCTGGTGTCTGCTGGGAATCCATGGCTTTCCTTGGATTGTAAACGCATCACTCTAATCTCTGCCTCTGGCTTCACATGGCCTTCTGCCCTGTGTGTGTAAAGGTCTCCACTCCTCCACCCATAATGCTGTATGAGGGCTCAGGATAACCAGCAAGACCTCATCTTTGCTTGGTTACATCTGCAAAGACCCTATTTCCAAATATGATCACATTTATAGGTGCCAGGGGTTAGGACTTCCACTTATCTTTTTGTGGGACACAATTCAATCCATAACAGACCCCAACCTTCTCTCTATAAATATCAGCAGTTAGGGCAAAGCAGAACACAGTACGGAGGGCCCAGTGGCACCAAGGAAAAGCACAGCACCACTCTGGATCTGTGCCTGCTCCCCTGGCAGGCTGAGTGGTTGAAGTATTCCTGTCTGTATGCCTATGTTGTCTCTGGATTTTCCCCAATACCTGTCCTTTCCAATCAGGTAACTAACTAGGCTCTCTGTACTTCTCTGCTCTAGAGGTTTGTGCAGGATGGAGAGAAGAAGCTGCTTCAAGCCAAGGGCTCCTTCTTTCCTTTTTTTTTTTTTTTCTTAAAGTCTAAACTTACTAAAGAGATTATGCTGTGGATCCAAGAAGGGCTGGGGTGAGTTGGGTGTGCCTTTGAGGGCCAGGAAGAAGAGGGGAGAAGTTCCTACACTGGGGAGAGGAAAGGGATGGATGTGCTGGTGATGGATACGGACTGCTCGTTGGCAGTACTTGAGGAGGGATGCTGGGTGATGCCCCTGGGCTGGCTCGACTCAGGACCAGGACTCCAAGCCTGGGAACGAAGCAGCAGAATTACTAGACCCAAAGGGATCACAAGGAATGGGACAGCAGGCTTCTCAGAGGAAACCACAAAGGCCTGCCAAAGTCCCAGGATATTTGCTGACCCCTAGGGAAGGGGGAGACCCAATCACACCTACAATGTAATGTCTGGCTCCCTGGAGGCTTAGAGTCAAATTCAAGTTGATGCAAATACAGCTTTTCTTATGCACCCAGGTTTGCAGCTTGAGGTCCAGCCCTACTTCATTCTGACACTTAATGTCCTAAGAGTATCAGAAGGAAATAGAATGAAACCTCCCAGCCCCACTGCCTCTGGCTTCGGCCTCTTTAAAAGGACATTTAGAGCACTTACATTTACTCTCAGCACCCCTGAGACCCTTCTGCAGGGCCCTGGGCTGGATCTCAGGGTGGACATGTGGAAACTCACGCTGAGGTTGGGGAAGTCAGAGATGGGAACCAGTGGTAGCTGTAGTTAATTCCACAGGCAAGACAGAGGCTTAGAGAGAAAGTCTGTGGGCACAGTGACCCCCATTCCTCTGTGATAGCCTCAGTGAAGATGAAGTGGGTGCAAAAGCAGGTCTGAAGCCTGGAATGCTAGCCTGAGGGCTTTTCCCATGGAGAGGAATGAGGAAAAGAGTGTGACGGTGGCTGTGTGCAGCACTGAATTAACAGAGTTAAGATGGAGGAGGTGTTCTCCATCAGGGGTAGCATGGATCCCCGGTATTGAACAGTCTCTCTGGGACCATCAGGGACCCACAGTAGACCTCCCGCTGGAAGGTTCACCTGTGTAAAGCAGCATCTGGGGTCAGGTGAGCATGAAGGAGGGGACAAGGTTCCAAGGTGCTTCAGACTTACAGTCCCAGAGACTGCAAGAACCAGAAAAGCACCGAGAGGAACCAGCACTGATGAAGCCCTACTATGTGCAGACACATTCTACGCACACAGGCATCATCCCACTGAAGTCTCACACTGGTTCCCATGTTAATGATGGGGAAATGGAAGCAGAGGGATTAAGGCCCAGAGTCACTCGGCCGTGGTGGAGGATTGGAACAAGTTTATTATAAGGACTTTGAAAGCAAAGAGCAGGATGCTGGGAGTGAGATCATCCGAGGAGTCTTTCTTCTGACCAAGGAGCAACATCTCCCTGAGAAAGAGTCACATGAGCTGAGACCTGAAGAAACCAGCCAAGTGAAGAGTGAAGAAAATGCCTGCAGTGAGCAGGAACAGCATGTGCAAAGGCCCTGAGCCAGGAAAAACCCTGGCATGTCCAGGAAACTGAAACATGATCCAGGTACGTGGAGCATTTTGAGAGAGAAGAAAAGGAGGCTCAGAGAAGACACTAGATCATGCAGGACCTTGCAGGCCATGACAAGGAGTTCAGATTTCACCCTGTGCACCAGGGGAAGTGCCCAAATGACATATACTGACTGACCCATAGTCTAGCACAGAGCTTGTCACACGGAAAGGGAGCAGTAAAAGGTTGTGGAACATCCGAGTAAACAGAGTCAAACTAGATTTCCAAAAAGATGGAAACTGCTGGCTTTACAGAAGGAAGAGGAAGGCTTCAGCCTTTGCCCATGAGGAAGAGCAAACAGTTTTGCCTAATCCAAATTCATTTTCATGCCTCTCTGCCTAAGAAGCACATGGAGCCCCTGAAATCCACAGGCACATCACAACAGAATAATTTCGGTGATCATTATCAAATGCCTCTATTCAGAAAAGCTCAGAAGACTGTATTAGCACACTTGAATGTTTATGAAATGACACTGTGCCATAATGAGGGGCTGAAAATATTAAGATGAGAAGTAAGGGTTGCTCCCTCCAGGGGAAAGCACAGCATGGTGGGAAAAGCAACAACGTCACCCGGCTGCGGGGAACCTTGGTTTTCCGATTTGTGAAATGGGAGGGTAGCAGCAAAGACTTAAAATGTGTGATCAGTTAATAAGGGGCCCAAAGGCATTTAATAATGTTTATCATTCATTTCTCCATTAAAGAAACACTTAAAAGCTATCTGCCCATTCATTCGTGTGTCCATCCAACAAGATGGCATTTCGTACATACTGTGCATAATGCACGGAATTAAGCACTAAGGATGAAGCCGGGACTAAGACTGTCATGGTCCCTGTTCACATGGAACTTCGCCTCTGGGGATACAATGTACACTGAACAAATAACATCAGCTGTGATGCGTGTCCCAGAGGAAAAGTGCAGGGTGCCAGGGGGACCATCTGCAGAAAGAGCTGACCAAGACCAGAGCATTCTCAGGAGTGAGGCACGAGCTGAGATACCGAGGGCAAGTTCAAGAGAACGGGGTGGAGGAGTAGGTTCTCCAGACAATGCCAATCCTATGTGAGTCCCTGAGGCAGGAAAGGGTCCAGAACATTCTGGAAATGGACAGAAGCCAGGGTAAAGGAAGCACAGCAGGGAATGGGACCTGGGGAGGCTGGACCAGCTCTGCAGGGCCTTGGAGGTCATTGCAGGGCATCGGACTTTTCTCTCAGAGCCAGAGGAAAGCCTCAAAAAGATTCTAGGCAGAAGGTGGGTGGGGACAATGAAAGGAAGAGGTGACATGAACAGGCCTACCTTTTAGAACAGTTTCTGGCTTCTGTGCAGAGTGGGTTAAAGTCATAAGAGGAAGCCAGGAAGCCTGTGTGAGACTTCTGGTGACCCAGGCGAGATGTGACAGTGGCACCAGGGCAGAGGTGGCAGAGAGAGAGAGGTGTGCAGACTTGAGATGGGCTCAGGAGGTGAGGAGGCAGGACGGAGTGACTGTCAGGAAGGGCAGGGAAGAGGGACGTGGGACCCTTGGGTTTCTTGATCAGCACCTGAGTGATGAAGTGGCCTTCTGAGACAGGGAGCACTCGCGTGTGAGTAGATGGAGATGAGTCAAGGGTTCAATTTGGGACAGGTTGAGTCTGGAGGGCTACAAGACCCTACAGGGCTTCCAGTGGGCTAAAGAGCATGTGTGTGCATACACACACACACACACACACAACACACACACGTGCACACTATAAAATCTGAATTAAGTAGGCTGACATCAAAGATGGCCATGCAGAGCACAGCAGACTCTCAGGGTTAATACAGCTGGAAAGAGTATAGAACAAGTCTGAAGACCGCCAACATTTAATGGCCTGAGAAAGCAGACAGAGGACACTAAGAAAGAGCACCAGGAGGAGCTGGTAAAAAAAAAACTAGAGGGTGTGTGGGTTAAAGGGAGGAACCATAGAGAATGGCCTATTTCTCCAGCAACCAACTATCTTTACAACTGTACTTACCAGGGACCACGTTATCCAAAGAGGTGGTCTTAGAGGTCCCAGGGTTGCAACTCTTCCTGGCTGACGTCACCAGGTAAGCCTCTTCGAGGTTCAGCTCACGCAGGCATGCCCCACCCTAAATGTGTTCACCCTGCATTTATACCTCCTCCAGGTGTGCCTCCCCTAGAATACATGAGGTGTAACACTCACAGTCCTACCTCAGGCAGGCATCCATCAGGAATGTACATTAGGTCTTCAGCCCCTGGCTAAGGATAAACTTGGCACTGAGGATGTCAGAACCTCAACTTTATGAGCAACATCTGGACTGTAGAAATTTCCCTGCATAAATGCAAGCTGCGTCTATGTGATCTGATAGGAGAGAAATGACCTCAATTCTTCAGAAGCTCTTTCTTCCCCTAAAATCCCACTGCAGTCAGGCTCTCACACAAAACCCAGCGATGCCCCCACTTACAGCTAATGCTTAGAATCTCAAAGTGAAAAGTTTCCTGAATCCGGGTGACATATGATTTCTACCATATCCCTAAGAATCCACTCAGCCTTGGTTTGCATGCTTCTGGAGATGGGGAACTTACTACCAGCAAAGTGATCTACTGCCCTCTCAGGCAGCTCCATCCAGAAGAAAGTTTCCCGCCACAAGTCATCATCAGAGCTGTCGTCACAGTCTCAAACACAGCTGGTCACATACCTGTGGGCACCGCAGGGTCCAGCATTGGCTTCTCCCACGTGTTGATCTGCTCCCAGGTAAACCCATTGGTGCCCAGGGCCACGCTATAGCCACAGTTGCTGTAATGCTCATCAAAGGAACAGCCACCTGCAAACAAAAGAGATACGGGTAAATATATCCTTGAGTCTGAGGCTTGGTTCATTACCCCCGTCTCATCGGCTCTTCATTTACAGCACTGAATTTTAAACTCTGGAGAAGGTTTTAAAAAAAAGGCAAGCAAATTGGATTTTTATATTTGCTTTGGTGCTCTCAGGAAAGACATTGGCATCTGCAGGCCCCCCTATTTAAAAAAGTTAATAAGGCTACTTACATTGATTTCAATCTTCCTTCCTGAGAAAGTAAACAACAACGTCTCATTCTAAGTAGGAAAAATGAATGCCAGGGCATGCCTCTGTAATTGCTTCCTGCAGCATTGAGAGATGCTTGCAAGGCAGTGGGGAGGGCACTAGCTTCCGAGTCTTGCAAAACTAGACACGAATCTCAGCTTTGCAAAGTTGGGTCAGCTCGGGCCAGATGCTGCACCATCTGTGTCTCAGTTTCCTCACCTGGAACGTGGAGGGAACGATCCACTCGACAGAAATACCAGGAGGACTAAATGGAATAACATATGAAAAGTAACTGGTACAGAATAAATTCTCAACACCCACTTCCTTCCCTATAAAAGCAGTTTTCATGGAGTAAAAGTCAGATTCGTGAAGAATTAGACAGTCGTGCACCTGGAAGATACTAAAGTCAAGGCTGACAGTGTTTAAAGCATCTCCCTTAAAGTCCAAGCCCTCCACCACCCACCACTTTACAATGAGCTGTGTCAAGTTGACTTTACTGAGCATACGCTGTGGGCTCTAAGTCCCCTTCTCTAGGTGACACTGAGAGAAACGTGGAGTACAGAACTGGGGCTCCAACTAGGAAATGCTGGTCTGTCCAGAGAAACAGCAGGAGAGTATATCCTTGAAGGTGCGGGGGAAGAAGAGAACTCATTAGGGCTTTGAAGTTCAGGAGCATCTCCAGGGGCATAAAGCAGGAGGAAGAGCTCTCCAGGCTGAGCTGGCAGGATGCGCAGAGGACTGGGGGCAGCACCAGGACCCAGTTTCACACCCCAGTCCACCTTTCCACTGCCCTTGGCTTGTCCCCTTGTTGCTCACATCTCATCACATCACCATCTCCCTTCCTTAAACCCCCACTGGTTCCCCATCACACATCCAAAGGTGTTTCTGATCCATGTACAGAAACCATCCCTTGCCAGCCCTTGCCTGTGTCCACCGCCTCACGTGATATCACCATCGTCTCCATCAGCTACAAAGGACAAAACCCCTTTTCTGAACCCAGACCTGGGATTTCCTCTGAGTGGTGGTGGAAGTCCTGTCGACAGATCTGATACAGAACCTGGTCACAACATTGCTAAAGGAAACCTTTGAGGTCAAAACTTTCTCCACTTTCCTTTCTTGCTGACTATGGAAACCCAGTCTTTAGCACCCAAATGAGTTCGGCTGGGCAAAGGAGGGCTGGACCTATTTTCATACTGCAAGGGTTGGAGCTTGATTTGAGAGTATTAAATTGCTTTGCACTAAAAAGTTACAGGAATTTACAGTACAGACACCTAGAGAGAGACAGAAAGGAGAGGGAGAGAGAGGTCCAAGAAACACAATGTAAAGGAGATACCTGCAGAAGGTGACAGCTGATGAGAAATTTCCTGTGATGGAAAATGACTGATGCCCTGGTAGGAACTAAAATACCTGTGTGCTTTCATTTATTCATTCTTTACTTCACAATTATTTAGTTGAGCTCGTACTGCAGATCCAGCGGAGTACAAGGTGCTATCTATACAGCAGTTTACAAAAGAGACATGGTATTGATCACCGGCAAGAGACAGAGAGGAAACAAGTAAACCAGTAAGTAGTGCACATCTCAGGGTGTGCTATGATGGCTGCAGCTGCGGTGGCTGGGAGGACCCCTAGGATGGAGAGGTCCAGGAAGCCATCCTGACCATGAACTAGAAACAGTTCCCTGTCCTGTGCTGTCATGTCCCTCTGCTACACCCAACTCCTCGGTGAGACCTGGCTACATACAACAGCCATGTGTCACTGGGGCTTTGGGGAACTGAGGGAAGAAGGGCAAGTCCCAGTGTGGGTTGACAAGGGTCAACAGACAAGGAAGGAAGTCCCAAGAGACAAGAAGAAAGGTTAGGCAGATGGCAGGAGAGACGTCATCCCAGATAGAGTGGAGAAGGTTGACTTTTGAAAGGCAAGGACAACTAGCTTCCACTAGACATAAGCTTCAGAATGGCTGGGATTGGCTCTGGCACAGAGCAGGGGATTAATGAGTATCACTGAATGAACAAACCAGTAACTGTGGACGGGATGCCAGACACAGACCCAGCTACAATGCAGTAACAGTGAGCCCACAGCAGTCTCCAAGCTCACCCTGCTCTTTCTGGTTTCATACTTGCCACTTTTACCTAGAAAGCTCCTTCCCTACATTGCCTGTCTGACACATTCCAAACTAGCCTCCCCAAGTCACTTCTTCTATAGACCTTCTCTGACCAGAAGAGCAGAGTGAATGCCACAGGCAGGAGATAATAACACACCATTTAAAGCTTTTTAAATAGTTTCAGCACCACCACTGCCTCACTGGGAGCCCAGCCTGTGGGAGACAAATGGACCAGGTCAACACCACTGACAACAGATCCCGATGTGCTCGAAATGATGAGCGAGGGGAGTCTGCAGCATCTCAAGTGTTCACCCCAAGAGTGGGCAGGTCACCCAAAACTGAGGTCAGCCTCCACGGCTAGAGAGGGAACGTAAAGCCAAGACAATGTTAGGTATATGGCAAACTGTTGACGTCTTCTCTCTTGGGCAGGTAAGAACTTCACATTGCCAGTCCACCTTGCATCGGAGGAAGACCATGTGGTAAACCCCAGAAATGTGTAATAAAGTGATATCCACCATGTGCAAGACTAGCCCATAAAAATAATCTCTTACAAGTAATCCTTCTCAACTACCCTATTGTGAGGACCTTCAAAGATGTATCTGAAGGCAGTGGCATCAAAGAAAGATGTTTAGATGCCTGAGACACTCAATGGAGGAGAACCACCCAGACAGTCGCCTGACCAGTAATACTGTCATTCAACCTACCAGGAGCAAAATGCCAACTTTTCTAGTTTTAATGCCACTGACATCTTAGAGTTTAGTTGTTACCATAGCAGAGCCCTGCACATCCTGACTAATGTAAGAAGCACACTCTCTTGAGCACTTGTTCCATGTCAGACAATATACTAGGCACTGATTACAGATACTATCGCATTTGCTTTCACTTAATCCTCACAACTGAGATAGATTTTTATCCCTACTTTAAGTATAAGATAATTGATGCATTAAAGGGTTAAGTGATCTGCTTAGGTCATATGGAAGGGAAGTGATGGAGGCAAGAAGTTTAAATCCATGGTGACCTAACCAGAGAACCCAGGCTCATTCTTATAGACCAGAGGAAGAATGTATTCCCCAGAAACCAAAGATCAAGACTTTCGCTTACAGAGTGATGAGAGGGCATCAGGCAGATAGTGCTTCCAAAGTGGTTGGGTCTTTTCATTTGAACCCATTCCCTTACTTATTATTCTAGAAACATTTAGTGCAGTTTTTTTTAAAAAAAAGTCTGTGCAGAGACACAGAATTGACAGATATGATTCTTACCCTTACCGAGTTTGCAAAGAACAGGGAAAGACAGCCACACAAACATACACTCAAGGTGCAATGCAAAAAAACACACTTTCATGGAGATATGTTGAAGCTCAAAGGAGAAATTGTTAATAAATTTTACTTAACGGTCTAATTAAGCCAATTCTCTGCTGCTTTCTAGACAAGATTTAGGAGGGCTCATATTATATATTTGGGCACCCCAGCTAATAAATCCCAAGAAAGTTCACAACAATAATTTGCCCCTAGTCTCCTGGATCAGATCAGTCACTCACCAGTCACCTGCCTTCTCCACCCAGTGGTAGGTGGCCTGCTCAGCTGCACCTGAGCTGAGTGCTGACAGGTCCCGCCCCTAGGGGTAGGGACCCACCTCCTCTTCACAGCCACCCCCAGGCACCTTGCTGCCTCCACCTGCAGAGCTCTGGTGACCACTTCAACTCACAGCCAGTGAGCAAACGCCTTTCCCATCTAACAGTCTGCTCTCTGATACTGGGGTCCCACAGCAGCAGACCTTGGCCCCAGTGACCACAGCCCTCTTTACCCTGAGGAAGAGCTGGCTTAAAGTAGAGTTGAAAGCAGCTTCACACTCTTCTTTCAAGCCACTATTTCTTAGGAACAGGCAGACCCAGCTGTCAGTTCTATTCCACTCTGTCAGAATTTATCGTCCCTTAAGGGAACCTCGGTGTCCCTCTCTACAAAAGAGTTTCTAGGAGAGGCCTCTGTCCTGCACCTTATCGCACAAATATGTCCGAACTCCAGGGGTCCACATGGTCCGTGACTTTTCCATGGAGCTCCTGGGCTCCCAGCAAAGCAGGATGCATGGCCAAGGGGTTGTTTTAAGTATCCTGTGCTTTGTGTAGATCAAGAACATAGACCACATTCTCACTGGTCACCATCCTCCCTGTCAACTCTAGTCCAGCCACAGTCAACTGACAAAACACAGAAGCAGGAAGTATACAGCATGATGACAAAAAGCAAACTAAAAACAAGTTTATACTGTATAGCACAGGGAACTATATTCAGTATCTTGCAGTAACTTATGGTAGAAAAGAATATGAAAATGAATACATGCATGTTTCTATATGACTAAAGCATTGTGCTGCATATCAGAAACTGACACCACACTGTAAACTGACCATACTTCAATTAAAAAAAAAGCAAATAGAGGACAGAAGAAAAAAGAAAAGCAGAACAGAAAGGGTTACGTACAAGTCCACGCTGCAACGTCCTACCCGTCCACCTGCTGAAGGAAGTTACATATTTGGCTCTGAGCTTCCAGAGGCCAAGAGAAAAAGGATAATCTGTTCAGATACTGGATGCTCTGTGTTCATACAATAAAAGCCAAATTGCTCAGGTAAATTACAGTCATTCCAGGTGCTTAGCTCGCACGAGAACTTCACAGGGGTACTGGTAACAGAAATCCTATATCCCGTAATGAACAACGTCTGAAACAGCATCCACACAAGGG